ACTAGCGCGCTGAGCGGACAAACAGCTGATCAGCTGTTTGTTGGCTCAGCGCGGCAGCCATGTAAATGTAAATGAAGCCGCGATCATTTAAATCGCGGCTTCATTTGACTTTGCCAAAATAACAAATCTACATGGCTCCGTCGACGGAGGCATGTAGTTTAGACGTACCCATGGGTATGTACTGTACCCCTTGGAGGGGTACTAGCGCGCTGAGCGGACAAACAGCTGATCAGCTGTTTGTTGGCTCAGCGCGGCAGCCATGTAAATGTAAATGAAGCCGCGATCATTTAAATCGCGGCTTCATTTGACTTTGCCAAAATAACAAATCTACATGGCTCCGTCGACGGAGGCATGTAGTTTAGACGTACCCATGGGTATGTACTGTACCCCTTGGAGGGGTGAAGTACAAGACATGCTCCCCCTGCAGGCTGAGGAACTCCAAGAGGAACTGTGTCCCACTGACCCACAACCCCTCTCGGAGCTCCCAGTGGGGCTAGTAGCCTCCGCACTGCCCCGGAGCAGGCCTATGAGCGAGCCCTTCTTAGCTTGACAAGAGCCACGGAGTTGGCAGAGTTAATACTGGTCAGTTCCCTCATGGTACCTTTCAGTTCTGGGTCCAGGGCGTGTCCTGATTTGTTCAGGAGAATTTCCTGTATCAGATCGTGACCTAAACAGAGAGCGATACAGACGACGCTGTTAGTTGGCATGGAAGAGTGCTCCCAGGGTTCGTATGTTAGCAGCTCCAGCCCAGCTCTGAATTCCCCCTTCTCCCCCGCCCCCACCCGTGAGACTCCATGTTTCCGAGATCAGGATCTGCAGGCTACTGAGGTCTCAGTGATGGAATTCCAGTCCTGTGACATCCCACCTAAAGAACCACAATGGTACCTTCTCTCCCCTAATCCTGTCTACTGTAGCCTGTATCTCACATTCCCCCTGCATTTCCCCTCCCTCTCCTTCCTGCTTCCCACATTGCATCGCCTAAGATTGATTAATTAACCCCACAGAGCACAGCCCTGAGATCAGGGCTGGACAAAGAAGAGCTGTAGTGAAGAGCATCAATTCCTATGGATCCCCCCATTTCCCGTGTCCCCCGCCCTGGGCGATGGGTTCGTTACCATTGTGAATGATTTCATCCAGCATCCCATGGAGGTTGGGGTGGGCCCACCGGCTCTGTAGAGCAAATAGACCCGTCCACAGCCCCAGCCCCGTGGCTTGGCTCTTGGTCAAAATGTCACCCACTAGCTTCTCTGCGGCACTGGTTGAATCATGGTTCTTCTCCCAGTCACTGTAATCCTACACCCCAGAGAGACACAAGAGGAGGAAAAGTCAGAATCAGCCTGCAATGGCATGGAAGAGAGGAGGGGGGCTTTGAAAAAGCAATCACAAGCATGACACTGAATCATGGAAATGTAGGACTGGAAAGGACTCCAGCAGTGAGGCAGGGCTAAGTATTATCTAAACTATCCCTGACAGATGTCTGACCTGTTCTTAAAACCTCCAATGATGGAAATTCCACAAGCTCCCTCGGTAATTTCTTCCATGTTTGACCACCCTGACAGTTAGGAACTTTTTCCTAATGTCCAACCTAAACCTCCCTTGCTGAAATTTAAGCCCTTTGCTTCTTGTGCTATCATCAGAGATTTAGGAGAATATGTTTTCTCACTCCTTTTAGGTACCTGAAAGCTGTTATGTCCCCTCTCAGTTTTCTCTTTTTCCAAACTAAACAAATTCATTTTTTTAGACCTTTCGAGACCTTTAATCTTTTTTGTGGCTCTTCTCTGGACCTTCTACAATTTGTCACATCTTTCCTGAAATTTGGTGCCCAGAAATGGACACAATTCTCCAGTTGAGGCCTCATCAGCGCAGAAGAATATCTTTCTTACAACACTTCTGTTAATATATCCGGGTATGTCTACACTACACCGCTAATTCGAACTAAGCTAATTCAAATTAACGCATCCAGACTAAAAAACTAGTTCGAATTAGCATCTTGCTAATTCGAACTAGCATGTCCACATTGAGTGGACCCTGAATCGGGGTTAAGGATGGCCGGAAGCAGTGCCGGCAGGGCATCAGAGGAGGACTTAGAGCATGGAGCTGCTGCCTCAGGCTAGCCGAGGGCTGTGCTTAAAGGGACCCGACCCCCACCCCGGACAGACAGTTCTCAGGGATGCCCCGCTTGCAAAGCAGTCCTGGCTTGGAGTGCCCTGAGTGCCCACACTGGGCACATCACACCACTCAGCCATCAGACCGGCTGCACTTGCTGCAGGCTGCCATCTGGGGAGAGGGGGTAATTGGGGGGCTGCAGGAAAGCTTCCACCCCCAGAAGCCCGCAGAGCCAGCCCAGTCCTCCCCATCGGGGGCTCGCACCCCATTCCTCCCTCACCTCCTTCCACTTACCCTACCCTAGCCCCCCTTCCTGATGTACAAAATAAAGAAAATGTGTGGTCAAAAATAGAATCTCTCTTTATTGAACAAAACTCGGGGAGACTGGGAAAAGGAGGTGGGAGAGGGGAAGAGAGAGGGTGGGAGAGGGGAGGGCAACTAAAATGATCAGAGGTTTGGAACAGGTCCCATATGAAGAGAGGCTAAAGAGACTGGGACTTTTCAGCTTAGAAAAGAGGAGACTGAGGGGGGATAGGATAGAGGTCTATAAAAGCATGAGTGGGGTGGAGAGGATGCATACAGAAAAGTTC